TTTCTGAGAGCAGTGTGATACCACCCCCTGCAGGTCAATGAGAGAAGTGTCTTCTGTTACCAAGCGACTGGTGGCAGTTCTTTTCCTGCTTCCTCTTCTTCTGCGTTCAGGGAGCACAGAGCTGAACTGCTCCTCCTCCATTTGTGCCTCCAGACTGGACTGTGGAGGAGAGTTCTGCTGAAGCCCTGACGGCTGTGGGCTTGTTCCTCTGAAGTCCTCCTGTGCCTGATCCTCCTCTGGTTGATCCCAGAGTCTGGTCTGAGAGCTCATGCTTACGTCACACATGTTGGATGGCTCGATGACGTTCTCACGCCTGTCCTGAAGTGGACTGCTGTCCGACAGACACAGATACCGATTCTCATCGTCCTCTTTTGTGCTGATCTCAAGGAAAGATTTAATGAAGGCCTTGCAGTAGGAAATGACGTCATTCATCTGCAGGTAGCTGGCGGCTGACATCACTTCTATTACATTAGAGCTGTTGAGCTCCAGCTGACCAGAGTAAATGAAGTCCAGGATGATGGCAAAGATCTCAGGGCTGAAGACATCAAAAGAAGCACTTACAGACTCTAGAGTGTCTTTAGCTCCTTGAGACAGCAACATCCTGAAATACCCACTGCTGCCGTACAAGACGTTACGATGTGCATGGAAAATCTGACCCTCCACCAGCACGTTGCAGTCACAGAACAATTCCTGCTGTCGTTGCTGGTCCAGCTGCTTTAGCAAACAGCTATGGTGAATGGCTGACATATCTGCACTGGTCCATTTGTGAATAGGCCTGAAAAAAGAAGTGGGACAACTTGAAAAATATATATATATGAAAGAATGAGTGATTAACTTCTATTCATTATCCAGTTGTACATTACTCCTAGCTTGTATGTGCAGTGTTGTGCTTTGTGTGATGTGAAGGCAGCGATTTTATTTCACGAAGAGGCAGCTTAACTCCGCCCACTGTGCTCTGATTGGATGACACATCTGTCACTCATGTACATTCGCTGTGGAAGGGGCAACACCCGACTTTGCGCATCGGGTAACGAGGGAGAGAAGCGGGGAGAGAGAAAAAGAGAAATAAATTCAGAAAGATGGAGGGAAGAAGAGAAACGTACGTTTAAAACATGAAAAATATTAGAATAAAGAAAAATAGGCGACGCTGTTGCTGTTAAAATATCATATCATTCGTTCCCCTTACAGCAAGCGCACACAAATACAAAAACTGGGTTACAGTGCCAGACGTATATAAATAAATAGATAACCATCCAAATTAACATAAAGCCATAAATAACACAGACATAGAGAAAATG